AACCTTAATTTCTCCCTAAAATTAGCCCTAAAATGTTGTCAAGGACTGCTGGAAAGCCTGAATATAATATATTGCAACCATTCTTCTTTTAAATTATTAAATAAACTCATTGTTGCATAGTAAAACATCCTTAGTGGATTTGCACATAGTTGTTTGACTAACGTTGTAAACAAATCAATAATGACAGTTTTTGTAACATTAAAAAATATTTATGGTGAATATGGATCGACAAATTTTTGCATGTATAATTTTTACACGCTGATAAGTACACCTACAGAAATGGGCCCTCTGAGAATATAAGTAAATTTGTACAGCAAAATGAAGTTTGTATATTATTAGTTTATATTCGTATTTTTTTAGATTTGTAACTATTAAATTCACAAACATTTTGTAGGAAATATCATGCCATTAATTGTAGATGTCTTTTCAAGCGATTGGTGAAACATACATTAATCAGTATGTTTTTTCTGTGTATGGTTTCAACATTAATAATCAATTGTTTTTCACTAAGAAATGCTAATTTTTCATAATTATACTCATTTTGATGATAAACTGGAAATTTACTCTGCTGCTGATATCTGCATGAAATGTATGTAAAAAAATACTGAAAACATTTCAGGATGGGACAAGCATTCTTACGGTTACCATGGTGATGATGGTCACTCATTTTGTTCGTCGGGCACTGGCCAACCATACGGGCCAACATTTACTACGGGCGATGTGATTGGCTGTGGAGTGAACCTTATTGACCACACATGTTTCTACACAAAGAACGGAGTGAATTTGGGTATTTATTTAAAAGCTATTGATATGGCTTAGATATGTTTCCAACTGCATCTGGAAAGTAAATCTTTCTAGTGCACTCTCATGTGATAGTACATATTGAGGACTTGTAGTGCATAGAGTTAATGTCTTGTGTGAGTGTGTGTACGTGCGTGCGGCTGTGCGTGCGTGGGTGCGTGCGTGGGTGCGTGCGTGTGTATGCATACATGTGTGCTTGCAAGCACGTGGGTGGGTGGGTGCGTGCGTGCGTATCTATGCCCATTGCGTGTGTGTGTAACAAAGCAGCGTTTGTAAGTTATAAACTATTGATGTTTTTATTACTTTGTAGGTGTGGCCTTTTCAGATCTTCCAGTAAGTATTTTCTGTGCAGTAGCAAATTGAGCAATGCTCACTGTCAGTTAACATGTGTGCGTAGTGCAAGTGTAGTTTCTTTCACTTTGTTAGAAGGTTTTTGTTACTGAGATAAAATCACGTGTTATATCAAGAGTAGAGTATAATGTTATTTAAACGTAACTATATGACACCTAGTTGTTAATTCCTTGGAGAATGGAAACATCTCACGATGTGTGTTTTTTAAAGCCAAACCTGTATCCGACCGTTGGGCTGCAAACCCCTGGAGAAGTTGTCGACACAAATTTTGGACAAAATCCGTTTGTGTATGACATAGAGGACGAGATTAAGGTAGCGTTCTTAGGATGACGTGGTTGATTTCATGGATTACGTTTTTTCTATGTAAACTTAGAATTGTTAAACTAGACACTTGATTTTTAAATTGTGGAAAAGGAACTAACTTATATAGATAAAAAGAAATTAATTTTTAAGGAGTCAAAATCAGAACAAAAACAGATGTATATATTCTGTTTTAGACAATTTATTACAATGGAAGTGGGTGACTGTCACTGCGGGAATCTAATAGTGATGTTGCAATTGCCTCTGTGTATAAAGATTCATATTTATTCTAAGCGTGAAGTTACATTATTTATGTTATTACGGATTGAGCTTAATCACTTCCAGGTATTAGTGAACATTTTCTGGGAAAGTATTTAATTATGTGTACAATTCTGTCCAATCATGCACTGTTTACTCATTGTGTTTTTTATCATAATGTAGGAAATCCAGTCCAGGATCAGGGGAAGCATAGAGAATTTTCCTGTCTGTGATAAAAAAGGCGAATGGCAGACAGCTTTGCACAGGTGAGTGGGTTACCATACTGTCAGCATCCTGCTGCAGATCTATATTCCCTTAGTTGTCAGAATAACCAACAGCTGGGCACAAATCTTAACCGCTCGACGTATGGTCACGATATTCAGGATGTGGGGGGGTAATCCGAAAAGGAGTTGTGATGAGGTGTAAAGTCAAGAGGTGTAAAAGAAGGAGAAACATTCCCTCCTTCACTTAAGGTATAGGAAGGAAATGCAGAAATGTGGCACAAATCTAAACGGCTCGACCTAGGCTCGTGATAGTCGGTGTATAGTATCATGGTAGGAAAAGCCATCACTGTGCCGAAATTGGAGGTCACAGGTCAAAGGTCAATGGGGCACAGGGCAGATTTTAGACATTTTCTGAGGACATGGTCTGACGGAGCGATTGAAAAACTTTTTTGTTTCAAAGCCATAAAAATGGTAGGTCACCACTATTGAAAGGACCATGAAATGTACGTTCTGCTGACATGCAAAGAGTAAAGAGTAAATGTCGGATAACCTTTGACCCTCAAGAGGAGGGTTAAACATGGATTCCTGAACTGCCTCAATGATGTCACAGTGTTCTCATATTCATGGAACATCCATAATCTGGAAAGCCAATATTCCTTGATAGCCCAACGGCTACAGCACAGGATTACGGCTCAAAGGTCCTTGGATCGAATTCCATCAGATTTTTTATTATTTACCTGTTTTCTGCATTTTTCTATCTTTATCCATTTAACTATTCCTTTCCAATTAAGGCAAATATTTACATGATTTATTCACAACAATTTCATAACAATAAATAATTTTTACAACAATTACATATTTTTTTTTTAAATATGGTTCTAGGGTTAGGGTTAGGGTCACAATGCACCATAAAACAGGAGTTTCAGGCACGCGATTTGTATCAATCAATGGGATTTGGGAGGTATGCAGAATGCAGAAGGTTGCTGAAATGATGTGTACGCAACTGCGTATCTGCATATCTGCGCCTAACAAATGTGTCACTACGCACGACTGAAATTTTACGTTCATAATCGTAGCAACACACCTCAGATGAGCCCAGTCGCTCTGCGGCTCTTGTTTTATAATTCTGCACCCTGACTTCCACTATTCCATGACATGTGCCATGATAATGTGCAGTTTCCATGGTACATCAGAATTGTGGTGTGCGTTACTGCTTGCTGAGTTGATGATTTGGTGTTAATTTCTCAGCTTACAATGTCATCGATCCAATTTTGATTAAAATCCCAACAAAGTCCGACGAGTATTCTGCCAGCTGAGAGTTTTGTATACAATGAACCCTTTATAGGATTTTCAATATATTGAGGTGATTAAAAGATGTCGGGTTTTGTCTATAGAATAATGTCTACATACCTGGTGCATCATGGCTATTGTGCGACTGCAGAGGCCTTTGCCAGGAGCACGGGCCAAGCCTTTGAGGAGGAGCTAACCTCCATAAAGAACAGACAACGTACGTCACAGCACCCTGTTGATGTTCAGCACTAACACACTACGTGGTGAAATAATGCGCGGTTTCCCATACATGTTTTATTGCAGATCAAATGCTTGGGGTTGTATTAGTATAAACTACTCTATCTATAGTCTACCATCTAGAGTAGTGAAGGTGATTTCGGGCACCTACCTATTGGTTACACATCAGTTTCGAATTGGAAGGTAGGCCTATGTACAAATGTACCATGCAGTCCTTTATTGATATTGATGCAAATAATCAAACTCATTCAACCATAAGAGCGAGCGATTATCGTCTCACGATGTCAGGCGATTTGTATAATTGCTTGCCTTGCTTACATTGACTATACTGCTTGCAGGGATACAGAAACTGGTCCTAGCTGGGAGGATGGGTGAAGCCATTGACATGACACAGCAGCTATACCCCGGACTCTTAGAGCGCAATCTGAACCTGCTCTTCATGCTTAAGTGCAGGCAGTTCATAGAGATGGTCAACGGCACGGACTCGGAGGTGCGCGGCTCTGCGATCCGCAGCCCCAAGTCGCGCAACAGCAGCGGCGGCTCGTCCTCACGCTCGAGTCCGGGCATGAGCCCCAACTACCACAGCGTGCAGAAGTCCGGCAGCAGCAGCCCTAGTCACATCATTAATACGAAGCCGCCCCCGCAGGCCGCGCCCCAGCAGCAGCAGAACTCTGATGTGAGACCGCTGCTGTCGGAGGAGGCGATGAACGACGTGAACGTGGCGGCAGGCAGCGCGGTGAACGGCGGCGCAGTGCTGCCTCCCGCGGTTGGCATGGAGACGGAGTCGGGGCGCCTGCTCACTGACGAGCTCGATCGCGGCAGCATGAGCAACGGCACGTCGTCGACGACGAACGGAGCCGTGTCGAACGGAACCTGTCACCAAGACGTGGACGGCGACTGCGACATGGGTGCGTGTGAGGCTCAGGTCATTCACCGGGGAGGGCGGGGCATCTCCCAAGGTGTCTGTCACGGAATCGAGCTTGTGAGAGAGGTGTTGTCAGGTATAGCGGTGTGGGTGCTGCAGTGGAGTGTCTCGGATTGGTATGCATCGCAGAATACGCCAATTTTGCATATAGAGAGGCTCCCTGCATTGTGGAACCTCACTACGCTGCTTATTGTGGTTTGAAATTCGTATGTGCTATGTCGTGGTAATTACAATTATTATCTTCACAGTGATTGCTTCACCCACTTTTAAGTTTGTGCATAGCGTTTGCACATTTGCCAGTGTTGCAATGTCCACCTGGCATATCTAAACTTAACACTTTTCCAGGGTGAATATTTGCTGCATATGTTATTATAACAATTAGCTTGTATGTTGGTAACCAAAGGCTATAATCTAGGGACCGTTTTCAGAAACATGTTATATAGTTCAAGTTGTCAATTGTCATAACTGTTGAAATGACGTGTGGTGAAAAAGTTATTTGTTACTCCTCTTATTTTTGTCGCACAACTACTTCACTGTTTTTCTCTGCCTTTCAGAGATCGACCATGATCAACCGGAGCCTCGAAGGCAGCTGTGCGGTGGCAGCGCTATTGCTGTTGATAGGATGCTACAGTTTGGCAAGGAACTGCAGCAGCTGAGCGTGCAACTACGGCAAGAGTTCGGCAAGAACGATGTCAACAAAAAGATTCTGCGGGTAAGCACTATCAGAGGAACTTTCGCGTGTGCATGCTGCTTTTTCATTTTATAGTGGTCATCGATGTTATTGTTGTTGTTGCTGTTGCTGTTGCTGCTGCTGCTGCTGCTGCTCCTGCTACTCCTGTACTTGTTGTTGTTGTTACCTCCGCCCAACGGAGTTGGAGGAGGTTATGTGATCGCTCTTGTGTGTTAGTGTGTTAGTCCGTTCGTGTGTTAGTGTGTTTGCGCGATCGATATTAGCGCGTCGAGTCAGCAGCAGGCCAGTCAGTCAGCAGCAGCCAGCAGCGAGCGGCGAGCCAGTTCGTAACACATACATGTTACATGCTGGCGTAGGTATGCACTCTTCGTGAGTGCCCTCTGTCTAGTTCTTCTTGTCATCATTGTTGTTCTTGTCATCGTTGTTGTTGGTGGTGATGGTAGTTGTGGTGGTGGTGGTGTCAGTGGTGGTGTGGTGGCGATGGGGGCAGTGATGATGGTATTTTCATGCAACAGCTCATGTATTGGTCAGTTTTTGTTAGCTCACCTTGACATCGTCAAGCTGAGCTATTGCCATGGGTCGTCGTCCGTCCATCCGTCCGTCCGTCCGTCAACATTTCGCTACGGTCAACGATAACTCAGGAACCGTTTCACCCACATGTTTGAAATTGGGTATAGTTGTTACTGCTATGCTCACATATTAAACGTCCTATTTTGGAGCACGCCAGTCGACGTACTTTCGAGCCACGGCAATTTTTTGGCAAAAATGGGAATTGCCATTAGTCAGTTCAGGTTCAACGGATTTTGCTCATTTTTGGTATGTGAAAGAATAAGGGCTAGGGGTTTTGATATTTTAAAAAAATATGCAAATTAGGTAGGTTTATGCAATTTATGCAAAAAACGCAGATAACAAACAGTCTGTGGTGTCACAAGGTGTGTGGTTCGTTTTACAAGATTTAATTGGCAATATCTTTAATGCAAAATTGGTATTTCCTCTCCACCCTGCCGATAAAACGTCTATATTAGAGTAAAGTTTTACAAAACATGTCGGAACGCAGCATAACCTATTTATTTCGAACGCCATCGCTACAAAGCGGGTATAGCGCCATCTACCGTCACAAATTGTGATTCATTTTGGTTTATAAATTATTATTGCGATATACAGATAGCAACCGTGTGCTACCGCCTAGAAAAACTCATACGAAGTAAACCCTTCCATGCAACCAATTAACCTTTGACAAAAGTTGTGTTATGGGCAGGGAAACACCATTGTCACGTGGTACATAGCAGCTACGTGGAATAAGCGTATCCTCTCAATCTTACACGCTACACATCGGGTGCTCTGCTTTTAGACAGTGCCTAAATCTGAATATTATAAAAACGTTAAATGGCGATCATTTAGGTGTAACGCCATCACTCGCCCTCATCTCAGACTCACATTTCAAACATTTATTTTCACATAAAAAATTACACATAATTATCAAGAGTATATAATGGGAGTTCTCCCATTATATACTCTTCGTTTCTATAATGTACGTCGATGGTTGCTCAATTAAGACTTCTTCTCACTCACTCATTTGTGTCATTTTTTGTGGTGAGCTACAGTGTCATTGACACTTTCATTGTCATTGATGTTTGTATCCGTATCATCGTTGTTGATTTTTTGTTGTTGATTGTTGGTCTAGGTGGAAATGTTTTTAAAATTCAGAGCATGTCTTTTTGATATGCAAACATATTTTCAATTGCCATAAATTATAATATAGTAACAATGTATCAGTCATTCATATTGTGAATTACATGATCATGTCTTTGTAGAAACTACTGTATTAATATGACATCTGGCCATGTTTGTGTTTTGTTGCCTGCATTAAATATTTGTGTAATTGATTTCAGAATGCTTATAGTCTACTAGCCTATGCCGATCCGTGGTCAAGCCCAGTGGGTTACCAGCTTGCAGCTGTGGAGAGAGAACCTGTCTGTGCTGCTCTTAACAGTGCTATACTAGGTAACTGATGTTCTACCATGTTACTTTGAAATAGCGAAAAATATTATTTATTGCTTTACTTGCATTAGAAAGTCTTGCGTAGTCAGTTGTTGCTTTGCTCCTCACACGATCGAAAGCTGGATAAGAATAGTGCAGGCATGCACAACAAAAAATGTAAATTTTTGATGTTACATATCTTAGGCAACCATTTGTGTAAAAACACTGCAGCATTGTGGAGTACGTGGTCATGGTTCCATTCGATGACACTGACGATTGACGTTGTCTTTCTTGCAGAGTCGCACAATCTTCCTCGGCAGCCACCACTGGAGCTGGTGATCGGTCAGGCCAAAGAGTGTATGAATCTCATGTCCCGAGCCGGAATGGGGTCATGTGCTTTTGTCTCCGTCGATTCCTACCTGCATTGATGTAAAAGCTAATTAGACTGCACCGTGTAGGACAGGCAAGATGTTTTAGGCACTTGAGGGATTATCCTTGGTTTCAACACCCAACTTTAAGCCAGTACATTATCGAGTTGTGCATGTGTGCTATATGCTCGACTAAGGAGAAGACCAAAAAAATTGAGACAGTAACTGAATGAAGACGGCTGTAGAACGACGCGTGGTGTCTGTAATGTGTGGTGGATGTTTGCGGTGTGCAGCCGATATAACATCTGAAAACTTTGTCAATGGAACCCAAGCATTTTCCGACAACATTGTATTTTTGTGAGATGTGCGTATTGGGTGAGCTGTCCGTGTGTCGTGTGTGATGGATTTGTGAGCTATACTCTAGCTGGTCATGTGTCTCGTTCTTGATGGTATATATTCTTAGTTTATGTCAATGGATGTTGCGACTAAGGGGTCTTGCCAAAAAACGTCCTTGGCCATTGTACAAAATGTATTTTAGTAATTCGTTAATCCATTGAATCGACTGCTGGTGTCCAGGACTGCTTTCGTGAGTTTCCTGAGAACTTTCCAGGGGAAAGTAAGAAGATTCATCATGTGGCAATTTATATTTTGCAGAGATAGGAGAGGCGTGTAATGTGTGTGTGGTGTCAGGACAGGCTCATCTATAGGCTTTAATCATGTATTGGAACAGCACTGCATGCAAATTCTTTCATTGTAATGTGCGTTTGCATTACTTTCACAGCATACAATATTTATTGTCGCCTGTCATTGAAGGCTAGTTTCATATAGTAAAGCTGTACTGCCTTACTGATGACCCCGGATAAATACAATTTTCTTGCATCCTATCTAGCATTCTAAGCTCACCCAGCTTGCAACCCTCATGATCATCTCTTGTAACTCTTCTACAGTTCTTCCGACTGTCAAAACTATGTTGACTAAATATACTTCCTCAACGTATCTTTTTTCATTGAGAACTCTTCAGCTAGTACAAGAGATAATGTTAGTGCGTATACAGTGGACATAAAAATGTTTTTTGCTGACGTACTGGTCTGGTACTGAAACATTAGATCGTATTACTGGAAATACAAAATCTTTAAAGAGTGGATTAAGTACAGGCACGCATGAGTCTAGATATCTAATGGGTATGCCTGCTAGAGACAGAGAGAGATGCTTCCTTCCTAACGAGTTACACACGTGTGCTCTCTATTTGAGGTCATTACATGCCTTCTTTCAAGGTGAGTAATGGTATATAAAATAGGTGAAGACTTGCTTGTAATACTAGTCTGTATTTTTATTGTTGCCAATTTAGCAATTGCGTGTGTTCGTGCCTATGGGCGTGCATGCGTGTATGAGGATTCGTTACTGTGCCCGTTTGTTTGAGAGAGGATGTAGAAATAGCCTTGTCACCATCTCAACGATGCCAGGACATAGAATGTATGACGCCTATGTACATATATATATTGCAGATTTAACCTGCAGACCTTTCCTGAGCATAAAATTAGTTGAAGGTTGCTGCAGAAAGGATATTTTTCTACCTATTAAAGTAAAACAAAAGATGCACAGTAATTGTGCACCGAGCCCACCGGCCACGTGCAAAAATCATTAAAGGAAATGGAACCACATCCAGTCGGTCTAGCACCAGTGGAGCTATAGTCTATGAAAGTAAAGTTGTGTTTCTTGTGTTCGTACTTTTATGTTCTAGTTTGTTGCAGCTAACATGGTGACCTTGCTATGTAAACTATTTTTTCCGGAACATTGGAGAACAGTTTGGGACAAGTAAATGTTACATTGCATGCATGTTTTCCCATGTATGGCCAGGGTTTGAAGGTCAGACCGGGGGTTGCTGCCAATTTAGCGTATGTTCTATATGGCTGTTTTCACGGGCACACCAATTTCTCATCGACGGATTTTCATTGAAACACATGTTCCGTGATCTTGATGTATGGCACTAGTAACCAATGCGCTATTGTGACCTTGAAATCTACTAAATTCGTTATGGAATCGCTACATTTCCATGAGCGTTTTTCAGATAGAGTAGGAAAAGAGTAGTAGCAGTAGCAGTAGCAGTTTCCAGCATTAATGTAGAAAGACTGCATCGGTACATAGATCGAAACCATTACAAGAAAGTAGGCTATTTTTTACGTGTCACCACTGTCCTAGCTCACAGCGATACATTTTGCTATGGTTTTTTAGTATAATACTAACTTGTGCGTGCATCAGACAATTTTGTAGTTTATAACGCTGAACACTGCACTCGTGTGATTTCCACTATTAATCATTGTGAGCGTGAGCAGTGTGACAGATTGACGAATATTGCCTGACATCTATAGACGTCTGACCTATTGCATGTAACATTCTTGCCGTGTCGCTCATTCACGTGCCGACGATGAAAAATCAAAGCATCTACTCGGACCCATGTGAATGTTCCTTCAAAGTGGCGGTGACTAAAAGCTTCTCTATATCTAATGACTAATGGTAGGTGCCAATTACGACAGCGTGCTTGTTTGTATCGATGGTTGTTCGATATGTGTTCATCTTGTGTCGATGAAAGTATGCATGTTCGATATAGCACATAGTTCTGGTGATCTCGAGAAAGATTCACTGCTATAGGTGAGATACGAGCCACGCGGGCTCTGGTGAGGAAGCCATGATACTAGCTAGCTAGGTGGGTTGATGTCCTGATTGTACTTGGGAGTACATGTATTCGGAGGTGAAAACATCGTCGTTGAAATGCCCCACTTGTTCCATTACTTGCCAGCAACATGCTGATGGTATACTTTATCGATGACGCCACACTGATGTATGTTGATTCGTAGGTCCCAACCTACCGGAGAAGTATGGTGGACAATTACATGTTTTCCTTCTGCTAGATATACTCAGTGGTTAGATTATGTATTAGATTGGATAGCTGTGTGCGTGTGTGCTGGCACCAGCAGGTGCTTGTATGGTTCGAGTGGAGCAGCGTCTTGCTGAAGGCATTCTTGTGACCTGAAGGAAGCCTTGTCAAGCGAGAGGAGCGGTGCCGGGCTGTCAAAGAAGCTGCGTCTTTCTCCCAATACAGTGGCGTCTGATTGTGCACGAAAAAAGGTAAAAATGATCTTGAAGGAGTCTTTGTTGGATTGTGACGAGATTGGTGTCGGACTGTCAATGAAGCCACTCAAAGGAGTAGTGTGGCCTGTGAATGAATGGAACTGTGTTGTACTGTGAAAGGCTATGTAAATAGCAGTGTCTGTGTGGCGGGTTTGTGGGGAGACAGGTGGAGGTGCGTGCGTGCGTGCGTGCGTGCGTGCGTGCGTGCGCGCGTGTGTGCAGTAAGGCATCCATCCTGCACCGCGTAGTCTTCATGCGGACACGCACAGCATGCGTTCATGGGCACGTGCGCCGGCATATCATTGCGTCGTAGCAGTGTGGGCCGCTGGGTGCGACAAAGGTGAGGTGGAGATCGATGATTGGCATCACGAGTGAAAGTTAAAGCAGTAGTGACTCGATTCATCATGTTTATATATTATAATAATATCGTAGCGTTGTCTCTGGAGACAGAGCGAGAGAGAGCAAGAGGGAGGGGCGGTTGTTCACCAGTTAGTGTAAGGTTAGCTATAATATTACCGGTATGCAGTGTTTGAGAGTTATATTCTAATATAATAAGGGGCTAGAGATTTGCAGCACCGTCCGTCTCTGGGTGCCACAGTAGCCAACAATTGGTAAACGGAAACAGCCGAGGGTATAGTACTCTGGCTCCTGTGCACATTTGATGTACGTGTTTTCAGTGTGTTAGCCTTGATTATGGGTAGTGTGGCAGGATAATTAGGAGTTCACTTGCCTCACACAAAGATGACGATCCGCGCACGAGATAGCAATGCACGAGAATGTAATATCTTAACACGCGACCATGTGCGTAACTACGGGGTCATTTCACGTGGCCGATTTGTGTCCCTACCAGGTTGACAGCGCCATCAAACGGCAAGTAATAGAATTAGAGGTGACGTGTTATCGACGTTTTGTGTCACATCTGTACTGTTGTACTGTGATGACGCTTGATAATGTACCCTTCATAGCGTCTTCTTGATTCGCAGTTTCACGTTTCGTTTTACGTTCGAATGTTATTGAATGCAACCAGTGCATGTGAAAGGTTGAGCACGCATCATCACTGATAACTGTTGCCGTTGCCTAATTCAATCTAATAACGTGTGTAACCGACTTCATATTGTTTCGGTCGAATTAGCTGACACCGTGATTCTAGGGAACGATTACCTAAGAAATATTTCCGGGGTTCGTTATGCGAGCAGCGTATAATAAGTTGTATAGTATGGTATATAGACACGGATATCTCAACATATTTTGCACGGTAAGTATCTTGGTCGCGTTGAGAGTCAAGTCGCATTATGTTTTACGTCTGTGTACCTGATATCGAAAATATAAATGCGTCCAAAGACCATAGGTTCCATAACGCGTTGTGACGGCGACGCATACCGATACGTGTGCGGAAGTTGTATATTCTATTTGAGAAGGGCTAAGGAGTACCATTGATATCTTATTAAACGCGTGCATTATGGGATATCGATGGAATCGTGAGTGAATAAAAACACGTTTGTTTCTCTTCACTCCTGATGAGATAGTACGATCTAATAGCAGCCGAATCGACTGTGAAACTAGTTGGGTCTTCTCGATCCTTTCTATCATTTTTGTGTGACGTCACGGCTTTGCACATGACATCACAGCCTGTGCGCAGCCGAATGTCTGTGAGAATGTGTAGCGGTTTGCTCTTCGATATAGCACATTTTCTATTTATGATGAATAATATTAAGTTCTGCATGGTATTTTCACTTGAGATATTTATTGTTATAATATGAACAACTACTCCGTGTAGGTTGTATGTTTTGTCAACGAGAGTTCAGTAAGTGAACTCGTACTGAAATGATAACAGTGGTCAATAAATGTTTAAAAGAATATCATTCGGTGTTTTCTCTTTACGTTCTTCTTTGCCCTTACAGGTTGTTGTTGTTTTATCAACATGTCAGGAAAAACAAACAAACTAAACAGTAAGACAGTAGACTTTGAGATAAATATGCTCCCTACCGTTATAGACGCACCATGAAACATCGTTTTCATTAGCACACGCTTACCGTGTAAACTTCAACTATGAACCGCATTACAAAATTGTTGCCTGTTTGTGATGGCGACATAGATTTTTGAATTCCTCAAAACTCATGTTGCCTTAGCAACCAGGCAATACTTTTTTGTCATATGCAATATCTGGTTGGACAAAGAGAATTCCACATTAACTGGAATTATTGTGTTTGTGACTAACTCGTATGCGTAACTCGCATGCGTAACTCAATAAACAATAGCTCAGTCATTTAATCCGCCTTGTCCTTAATTAATCGTTTTCCCATACATGATCCGTTGAGACAGATTCAAATGAGTCAGGTTTTACGATAATTCCTGCTGTTTGACAAACTAGTGCCGCCAAATAATAACAAACGGTAATGAGACTAGTGACACGCATCGCGTTAATCACAACCCTGAGGCTCTGCGTGAAATCACATGGTACAGTAACAGACAAAGAGCTGTTGGCTACGTTAAACCGGTAACACCTATAGACCATTCTTAATTATTATTCATGACCTGGGGTCACGCACGAAAACGAGGCTTATACCCCATTCACACCAGGGCCCCGATCTCACTACGCTCGTACTACGCTCTAAGAACGTGGTGGAAACATGTAGAACGCAGTATGAACGTATATGGACGTACTGCGATCGCGATCGAGCGCGGTGCAGTCACCATGAGCGTGGAAAGCGTGGCCAAACAATCGTGGTGCGAGCGTGGCGGAAAGACAGCGCAGTTCGGGCGTATTAGAGACGTGGAAGGCGTAGTACCCACGTAACTCGAGCGTAGTACGAACTTAATGATCGTATCGCAAGCGTATCGCAAGCGTGTCGGGTGCGTGAAAATTGTCGCCCCGTTCTCAGCACGATGTCAATACGTTTTCATCACGCTGTTACTACGTCCATGGAGATGTCTCTGCGACCTGACCACGCTCTCGCTATGACCACTCTACTACGATTGTACTACGCCCAACACGCTCAGACCACGCCGTTGTGGCGTTCGCATTACGTGTTAGTTGCGCTCAGATCACGTCCTGCGAACTTGGGGTATAAATTGGGGTGCTATACCCTGGCCAACCCACCAGTGTCCACTATGGATGAGGCAACACTACTCCATGCCATGTTTCTCGTAGAAGTACAACTCGAATTACTTGATTGCCAAACCCTCATCAGGCTGAGGAGGACGAGGAAGAGAAATAGAAGTCTTTTGGCGGCATAGTTATTATAGCATTATACTACTATTATAGCATACTGTATACTAGCATACTATTATAGCATACTATATAGCATACTATTATACTATTATGGGTATAAAATCAGTAGAAAATAATCTTGATGTGAACAGCACGGCAGAACGAATGATGATGTCTAGAACGCGGCGCGGTATTTATATGGTCGTTGCCAGCGCAGTGACTGGCGCACAGTTGAGGCCGGTGAGCGTTGCTTAGGCGCAGTGCAAGCGTCGTTCGAACGCAATGCGATCTGATTGGTCGCAATAAAGACGCAGTGAGCGCAGTGCAAGCGTGATGCGGGCGTGGTGTTGAGCGTGGTGAAAGCTTGTTGAAATCGGGGTAAAGACGCACTTAGATCGTAGTATCGACGTAATTAGATCGTAGTATCAGCGCTGGGCCCGGCTGGGGGCCCACGCTCTCAGCCACGCTCACCACGCTCGGGCAAATTTTTGGAAGTGAAATTCGGGGAAATCTCTGGTGTGAATGGGCCTTCAGCTAGGCAATTTTGTAAACAATGGCTGCTCAGGCAGGCACGCACAGAGGCCGCGCGTGTACGTGCGTGTATCTGCGTGTACGTGCGTGTACCCGCGTGTACGTGCGTGTACCCGCGTGTACGTGCGTGTACCTGCGTGTACGTGCGTGTACCCGCGTGCACGTGTGTGTACCCGCGTGTACGTGCGTGTACGTGCGTGTATCTGCGTGTACGCGCGTGTATCCGCGTGTACGTGCGTGTACGTGCGTGTACCCGCGTGAACGTGCGTGTACCCGCGTTCACGTGCGTGTACCCGCGTGCACGTGCGTGTACCCGCGTGTACGTGCGTGTACCCGCGTGCACGTGCGTGTACCCGCGTGTACGTGCGTGTACCCGCGTGTACGTGCGTGTACGTGTGTGTACCCGCGTGCACGTGCGTGTACCCGCGTGTACCCGCGTGTACGTGCGTGTATCTGCGTGTACGTGCCTGTACCCACGTGTACGTGAGTGTACCTGCGTGTACGTGCGTGTACCCGCGTGTACGTGCGTGTATCTGCGTGTACGTGCGTGTACCCGCGTGTACGTGCGTGTACCCGCGTGCACGTGCGTGTACCTGCGTGTACGCGCGTGTACCCGCGTGCACGTGCGTGTACCCGCGTGTACCCGCGTGTACGTGCGTGTACCCGCGTGTACGTGCGTGTATCTGCGTGTACGTGCGTGTACCCGCGTGTACCCGCGTGTACGTGCGTGTACGTGCGTGTACCCGCGTGCACGTGCGTGTACGTGCGTGTACGTGCGTGGACCCACGTGCACGTGCGTGTACCTGCGTGTACGTGCGTGTACCTGCGTGTACGTGCGTGTACGTGCGTGTACGGGCGTGTACGTGCGTGTACCCGCGTGTATCTGCGTGTACGTGCGTGTACCCGCGTGTACGGGCGTGTACGTGCGTGCACGTGCGTGTACCCGCGTGTACGTGCGTGTACCCGCGTGTACGTGCGTGTACGTGCGTGTATCTGCGTGTACGTGCGTGTACCTGCGTGTACGTGCGTGTACCCGCGTGTACGTGCGTGTATCTCCGTGTACCCGCGTGTACGTGCGTGTATCTGCGTGTACGTGCGTGTACCTGCGTGTACGTGCGTGTACCCGCGTGTACGTGCGTGTATCCGCGTGTACGTGCGTGTACCCGCGTGTACGTGCGTGAATCTGCGTGTACGTGCGTGTACCCGCGTGTACGTGCGTGAATCTGCGTACCCCCTCTGTTGCGTGCCTGCCTGAGCAGCCCATTGTTTACAAAATTGCTTGCTTAAGGCCTCGTTTTGCGTGGCGATGACGCCCAGGTCTGATTAATAATTAAGATGTCTATAGCTGCTAGCACCGCTGCTGGCTGCTGGCTGCCTACACCGCTGGCTGCTGCTTGCAACACTGCTGGCTGCTGGGCGGTTACTGCTGCTGCTGGCTGCTGCTGCTGCTGCTGGCTGCTGCTGGCTGATGCTGCTGCTGCTACATTTTTACTCCTACTGTTGTGCTGCTCGCTGCTTGCTGCTGCTGTGACCACTGCTGCTGCTTGGCTAACACTGCTGCTGCTGCTGCTGCGTACTGCTGGCTGCTGCTTGCGCTGCGACATGCTGGCTGGCTGCTGGCTGCGGTACGCTGCTGCCGTGCGACACTGCTGCTGGCTGGTGCTGCTGCTGCTGGTGGCTGCTACTGCTGCTGGGCCGCTGCGGTACTGATGCTGGCTGTTGACCACTGCTGCTGCTGCTGCTGCTGCTGCTCGGCTGCTGCTGCGGTACTGGCTGCTCGCCTGCTGGGGGCTGGCTGCTGGCTGCTGCGGTGCTGCTGCTAGCACTGCTGCTGCTGCTGCTGGCTGCTGCTGCTGCTGCTGCTGGCGGTACTGCTGGCGCTGCTTGGCTGCTGCGGTTGCTGCTGAATACACTGCTGGCTGCTGCTGCCTGCTGCTCTGCTGACTACACTGCTGCTGCTGCTGTGCTGCTGGCTGCCGCTGGCGTACTGCTGCTAGGGGCGTTTCTGCCTAATAATGCACAGGATTTTCATCACGTTCTGGAAACTGGGTCACTATATGACGCTTCTATATCCAGGCATTCAACCACATCCGTGATATACTATCGAGGCGTCATGTCTAAGTGTAAACCATATTACGTTAGGTGGCAGTACTGCACACCCAGGCAACACATTGATTTTCGCGGGTATATTGGTGTTTTTTCTCGTTTACTCCGCAGGGCTTGGCGGGGTTATGTTTCTCACCGGCGTGTGTTTGGTGTTGGTTTGTGTGTTTGTGGTTTGTGTGGGTTTGTTAGCATGCAGTTTCAGTTCATGTCCGCTAGGTGCCGCTGGCTGTAGAGTTACGAAACACGCACAGCAGGCTAAAGGCAACCATAGCGCTCCCCCACCCTGCACGCTCGCACTAATCACGGCATCCAATTAATTATTTAATAATAAATAACTTTATTAATTTTCCACTTAATTAATTAATTAATTAATAAAAAAATTGCACATTGAGAGATTCAGTGCGCTTGGCGGAGGTTCTGTGCTCTTCACAAGTGCTTTAGTTATTTATTTATAGGCGGCATTTTCTCAGGCCATATAATAATTACGCGTCTGCCAAGGAGGGTAATGGTAAATCGGTCTCGTGTGTCGTGTCGTGTGTGTGTGTGTCCATTCAGGCGGCGGCGAGCGATTGAGAGCCTGTCGAGTCAGCGAGCGGGGAGTCAGCAGCAGGCGAGTGAGTCAGGCAGCAACCACACCAGCGGGCGCCGTAGTCAACAGCCGCACCAGCGAGGCGGCGAGTCAGCAGGCAGGCGAGGTCAGTCAGGCAGCAGGCCAGCAAGCGAGCGGGGTGAGCGCAGCTCGACACATACATGTTACATGCTGGCGGAGGTATGCAATCTCAGTGAGTGCCTTCCGTCTAGTTATATCTGTGACGATATGATATCTATATCGCGCGTAAATAGGACTGCTTTATACTTTGTAAAATCATGACATACATACATGTCGTATATATACTCGTACATGCCACGTATTCAATTGTGATAGTGCACAGACCCACACACGACACAGCACACACAGCACCACACGAGGCCACAACGACACACACACACGCACACCGCCCCCCCCACAGCGACACACACACACACCACACAGCACGACACACACGCGCGCGCGCGGCGCACAGGCCCATGTACAACATATGTATATGTCAATTAAATGTCGGATTATTCTTTTTTTAAATATAACAACTGGAGAATATGCGTGCGAACCACGTATAACTTTTCTACTTATATATATATATATATATATATATATATAATATATATATATCTATATAATATCAAGAGCTAATGATACTCTCTTGATAATAATATATATCGTCTGGACGATAAATATAAGCGAATGACTAAGTTTAGATCTTTGTTTGATGGCGATGAGTTGATTAAATGAAGGATACCGCGAGATAGATAGATAATTCGGCGAGATAAATAATTGTAAATAATAAAAGAATTTAGTATGAGCATTAACATTTACATGTGAAATAAATATGCAGCACTGCGAATTGCGGCCAGCTGGTGCACTGTTCTATCATTCGCACCAGGCATGTTGATTATCTTCTGACATTATCGGCCATACCCCTTCATTTACCCTGCACCCTCATACCTGTATCGGGGTGCGCATGAACGTTGCGAACTGTGAGATATTGTTGTGAATGCCAGGTGGCGTCCCAACGACAGGAGATCTTTTTGTCGACTTGAAGCAGGCAGAATATCTTGTGCGATGATGCTAACAGCCACCGGCACTCCATAGTGAAATCTGGTGAGTGTCAACGCGTCAGTTTGCCGATCGCAACCTGTATAGTAATCGAGTCCACCTGTGGCTAGTCATAATATTTATCCAGGAATGGCGTACCGGCGGCGCTGTGAAGGCTACTGCTGCTTAGTGTGCGCAAGCATTCAGCGTCAGTGCTCCTCAGCGTTGTGGTTAATGAGTACTAGTGTGCTGAAACACGCGTGACCAGTTCCGTTGATTGCATTCACCGGTGGCGTATTCCCCGGCAGCGTCTGCGGTGCGTATACATGATCATAGAGCGTTTAGAAAGAATAGACATTTAACTCGGAGTTTCTACGTGCGAGCGTCGTGCAGCGCTCGCATCGAGTGTGCGCGTATGTGCGCAAATTATCTGCGTTAGCATATGCGGCGCTGGCGTGGTAGTGGTGGAAGAATGTAACGAAAACCTAGGGACTACCGTGTTAATTTGTGCACACTTGCATCACGCGGCACATTGGGCGGAACGCGTCTTTTGAGGCCAGTTACGCAAATCTAAATACGGATAACAGTGAATTCTAATGATCGCGCACTACAGGCATTTTTTGCAGAGTCTTGATTTTTTACCATCAAAATTAACTCGTAGCGCTTACAGGACTAACGCGCAAATGCAATTTAACGGCTTAATGTTATTGTAAGGTAAAATGCTCCGAAAACTGCGTATGTAAGGAATGAGCGTAGAATTTCATTAAATATTTAGTCTAATCTAGTACAGACGTTTAAACGCCGTGCTGCGCGGGATAACTGTTCGAATGTCACTGTGCAGAACTGGATCACGTATTGACGTATATAGCTTATACTTGACCTTCGTCAACAGCTATCAGAAGATGTGATAGCCAGCAATAAGGAGCGCCTCCCAGCAACTCTTCTCGCGTTTGTGATTTAGACGGTTCTGGTTCATCGACAAGACAGAACTGTCCAGCGTCTGTACGGCCATTTGACCAAGATGCTCGTAAGCGAAAGTGTTTGAGAAAGAACTTGATGTCGATGAGATGGACAGGTTATAATTTATTTATTTTATTGCTGAGAGTGTATGCGTAAGAGCATCACACATCCCCTCACAAACACACACCACTGCAAACCGACAACCGAAACAAACAAGATACCACGCGTGAGGCGTAGGCATAACACATGCACGGCACGCGCGCGCACGTACGTGCGACGTCACAGGGCAGATCACGCAATACACATGGCACGCACCCCCATGCCCCTCCGCCCACTACGTACGCGTACACGACGGCATTTTGCGCGAGCAGATATACTCAGAATATATTATATTTAATATCAATTAATAAGCAGCAGGCAAGATTTTGTGCTTGTAAGTCAGGGAGTAAGATAGCTATTACAGGTAAATACAGGCTTTCTGATTAACATGCGCGTCATGGTTTCGCGAAAGCGCGCGAACAATGCTTGTATTTGCTGCGATCATTATTGGTACTCACTTGTTACGTTAATTAACTCGCGCCAATTTTCACGCGGCGTGTATGAGGTCCGGTGCGCATAGATCTTGTTCTTCTCATTTTGTTGAGTATCTACAAGGTGATCGAGCGTGTCTTATGTAAGACATGGGTTATTCTTTACGATACTCGATATAAACAGTATATAACGTCTATTGTGCTTGCCAAATCTAATGCGAGGGGGAATTTTGAATCAGGGGAGTTGTGCGTTAATTAAGTCAGGTGACTGTGCATGCTCGTAATTCTGCACGTTGTTTTAAAATGACCCAATCGACTGGTTTGTAATCACGTCGGATGAACCTTAACAAACCGCGGAGTTCAGACCAGAGTTCATTTGCTTCGCGACGGTTATTCGATCACTTACTCATCAAAAACTATGGACCGAGTAAAATTAATATATTCTCTATAAAGTCTTTTCTAATTTCTTCTCTAATTACGTTGACGCTGTTTTTTCAAGGACCCATTTTCAGAAACATCACCGATAGTTATAGTTAGCTATAGTCATCATAATTAGCTTGCCTATCAATAAGTCCTAAAAATGTGTTAACTCTTGGAAGAGAGTGTTGTGGCAAAGATATGCCCATGTTAGAATTTTGATAGGACAACATGTGTTCAAAGACAACATGGCTCCTGTATTCGCTTTAAGCGCGGCATACATTATATGTATATATATATATATATATAGTATAATATATATATAATATATATATTATGATATACACATATATATATATACATATATATATTTTCTATTATGAACTCTTGATATATATATATATTCTTTATGATCTCTCCAGGTCAGTGTGCAAGAGTTCACGACTGGGTTTGAGTCGGTCATACAGCGGCGGTTAAGTGAACAGGCCAAAGATGCCCAGAGACGAAACGGCGATGTAAATACAAAGCAGACAATGACGAGACGGCGACAACGATGAAGAGGAAGAGGAAGATCCCGCCATGATATCCACGAAGTTGGAAAGGGCGTTGAGTCTCTGAAATGGTAGTAATACAATTGAATTTGATTATATTAATGTTTGACACGGCCCATCCTGATTTAGTTATGTTAGCTGCGTAGATTTGAGTAGATTAGACCCGTTTGATGTTCATAAAGCGTACGATGGTGTAATTACTTGATATTTTGCCATGTTAATTTTTTATAATATGGACCTTAGCGTATATGATGAGAGTTTCAAACACTCGCGTGAGGTCTGGAAGGAGGTATGAAGTGCGAGCGTGTGCGTAGCTGACACCGGATCCTATATCCTAGTTCTATATCCGCCTTGAAAATGCATTTAT